CTTTCATCCCCCGTTCCCGTGTTCTTTTACTTATTTTGATGTACGTCATTTTCGCGCTTTGTTTTCTTTTATATAATCGTTTCTTTCTATTTTCCTCCTTTCTTTCTTTCTTTCTTTCTTTCTTCGTTGTTATTTTATTTATTTCTGTACCTTTTTTGTTTTCACATATCATCTATTGTCTTGACTTTCTTCTTTTTTCCTTTCATCTCAACCGGTATTCGAACGCACTGACGAGCAAACAATCCTTACCCATCCCGTGCTTCCTAAGACCGTTTAAGTGATCATGGATTTCGGTTTCTTCTGGAATGTCTTTCAAGACTATCTTCTACAGAAAGAAAGTCTTTGAATGGTAAAACCGAAAAGAAAACCTGCAGTTTAATGTCCACTTTGAAAAAATAGACAGACATGAAAATAATCATAAATGTAATTATTTTATATTCATGCATATACACACAGAAAACCAAATACGCTCAAACGGGTGTACACACACATGCATACACACAAAATCACAAGAGCACACAAAGGCATGGTAATATGCACAACATACATACATAACGCACACACAAACGCACATAAAAAATCACTATGCAAACGCAACAACTCACACACGCATGTAATGCATGTAAGCATAAAATCTCAAAGAGACACAGAAAAACATATATACACACGGACAGATACACATAGATACTAGCACAAGCACATGTCTAAAAAGGCACAGGCACATATGCTTGAGCGTACACACACATGTTTACACACACAAATACACGCGTAAGCACGCATGCTCACGAGCAAATCCCAAATGACAAACACACAAAGGAAGACACAAATACACACACATACGTGAGGATTCATATATACGCAAACTCCAAATGCGCACCCACACGCTCGCGATCGCGCGCACACAAAAACACGAACATAAAATAATACAAAAACGCCCCTCTCCCTCGCCGACACACACACACACGCTCATGTATCTGTTATAATATTTGTCAGCTGAAAGTGTGGTGAGTTTCTCATTAGCAACGTGAATAAAGTTCAACATTTTCTGATGCTGATTATCTATGTCGGTATTCCTCATAAAATTAAGAAGGCTTTAAACAATATGTTATCCCGGCAATCAGTACGGTGAAGTGTTTGTAAAACTTGCACATGGTACAAATAACGGGCTACTTAAATAGAATGGTCCACTCGTAAAAAAAATAGTTAAATAGATAAATAATAGGGAAAAATTTCCACTGTATATATGTTGTAGATTTGGATTCATTGAACTTTCCTCAGGGTATGACATTTATAAGATTCGGAAAATATTGATTTTTATCGATTTAAAAGGGCGTTCTCTTCATAATATAAATACAGTGGAACAAATCTCTTTCCAGCTATGGGGTAAATAACAGAGCAGACAAATCTCTATCCGTGTTTGGTAATCAGTTTTTGAGAAGTTCAACTCTGAATTCAAAACCGGTGGAATAATGGATAACGGCTCGGATTGAGAAATCAGAGAGCCAAGTTAGAATTACAGTCGAATCCATTGCATTCACTTACGTGCTAAGGTATGAATCCTCTTTTTCTACCCCCAGGTAAATATAGCCTTGGATGGCAACTGGTCTACCATAGAAAGAAATGGCAACCTACTGCGGTAAAAAATCTGCCCCGCCAGTCATGTATCGAAAGATACTTGATCGCCTAAGCGTTTATCACGCATGGCACATAAGTGTTTGATATCTTTATTACGAAGCACATACTATGCAGGCAATGCATAATGACACAATGATCCTGACTGCGGCCGATATGATAGATGTTAGTATGATGGAGAATAAAAGTGGAGAAATCAAAGTGAAAATGCTTTTTAATGACAACACATTTCGTCTTAGTGTGAATAGATAGATAGATAGATAGATAGATAGATAGATAGATAGATAGATAGATAGATAGATTCATTTATGCTTTTAACATTCAAGGAAAGTAAAGTATGTCTAAACAGACTGTGACAGTGAGGCAGTTATGCAGATAGATAGATAGATAGATAGATAGATAGATAGATAGATAGATATAGATAAAAGAAGTGTCAGTTTAAAAAAAATAATCTAATCTTTACATTTGTCCAGATAACATCGTCCGGTTCATGTTCCTGCGCGTTTTTTGAACAAGAGTAGAATGTTTATCCCTTGTTTCCTGTTTAGGATTGCGTTTCCGTTTCCTTCTAAAGTGTTTTTCATTTTCTTTCACTTCCAGTAGCACGTTGCATCTTAATAGCATTATCGTCTTGTGGTGAATTAATTTAAAAGAAAGAAAAAGAAGAAGAAAAAAAACTCCGTAAAAATCAGTGGGATTAGGGTTAATAGGAAAATTGAATTACCAGAATTAAGTAAATGGAAATGAAACAATAATTTTTTTATGTCAGGTCACTACGAGTATTCCTGCTGCCACGTAAACGGTTACTCCCTGTAATATGTTCTGATCATCGGGAAGTATACTGGTTCTTTAACCAGGCTTTTCTTGTGAGAAGTGTAGCTAAACACACAACAGGATTAAAACAGATGCAGGGTGAACCATCTTCTAGGTTTAACGACCATCTGGCATAATAGGATGGGTTGGGTTTCCTAGTTATATATGTAGAAAGTGCAGTGATGTCACCGCATCGTAGGGTTTTCTAGACTCAAGTCCATAGTAAAGGCGGAGGATTCATTCGATGAAATCAATGACCACGCGTCTGTGACTAGGTGAAACTTTCATATTGGAGGACATTGCCTGAAGTTTTTTCTAGAGCGGGATGGGTTCAGCAAAGTCTACTTGCCCAAAACCCGTTACGCATGACTGAATAACTCTCCGGCTTTCAAACCAGATACAGAAGGTCCTCGACTTACGACAGAGTTCCATTCTTATGACTCATCGTAACGCGATTTTCCGTGAAAGTTGAAACATACCCGATTCATGTCTGATCTTCTTCTTCTTTTTCTTCTTGCCGTGTACCTTTAGGGTGTTGGCGATCATTGTCTCTCCCAATCAATTTCCTGTCTTTTGTAGCTCTTAGTAAATCTGATCTTTTTCTATCTCTCCTAATCATTACTGTAAACCATTTACACAAGTTCGTTCGATATGTTATGTACTGTGTACTTCTGCCCCATCTTTATTTTATATTTTCTGTGGGTGTCAGATTTTCTAAGACTTCTTTTCTTATTATGTTCGACAGAAATTTCAGCTGTCTGTATCTGATGCTCAGTATAAGCGTCCTGTATGTTTCCATTTTCTCTAAAACTTCGTCTTTGCTCATACGTTGTCTATAGTATTCTCAGCATCCTTCTGTATACTCACATTTCTGTTCCTTCAAATCTAGTCTTCATCTGTGATGAGATTGTCCAGCATTCATTTCCATATACGAGGGCTGATATTGCATAACAGTTCAGTATTCTTTTCTTCATTTCTCTTTATGTTTTTCCTATTTCTTAATAGTTTGCATATTTTTTTAGAAGACATTTCTTGCTATCCTAAAATACGTTTAGTCCCTTGTGTGTTTAGCTACCCTTCTGGTTAGGGAACCGGTTTACTGCTCGATAGCCAGACCATACTGCAGGGAGTACCGGTTTACGTGTCAGCAGGAATACGCGTAGTGACCTGACATTGTTTCCGGCGTCAATAAAATCCATAGTCCTCTCGCTTTCTTGTATTACCTTCTATAGAAATTCTTGTAGTTTCCTTTCCCTGTCTGTTATCAATATTGTATCATCTGCATGTCAGTAATTATTATATCGATGATGGTGATGATGATTTATTTTCTCGGATGTGCCTGTAGCACAACGATTATTGGCTTGAAAAGAGAAATCGTCGTGCCGAGTTCGAATTCCGGCTGAGTTCGTGACGTTCAGCTTTAAACCGTTCACCCCACCCCCAGCAGCTATAAGTTAAAAAGAATGGCAAACTGGGCTCTCCAGCTTTCAGTGGCAATCAGTCTAGTAATTGAGTAACGATAAAACCTCATATCCCCCATTAACACAGGCCACTTGTGGAGATGGATCAGTACATAAAACGCACCATCTGAGTTGCCGCAGGTGGAGATAGGGTCCTTCTCTCCGACTTATTTTCTAGCATTTTTAACAACTATAGAGGTTTTTTTTGTTGTTTTTTTTTTTTAATATTAATCATTACATCCCAAGCAAGGCAATATAGTCACTAAGATGCAAGAGGCTACTCAGTGTTAGATAATATGAGAAAAGACACTATTGAGGAGAGGGAAAAATTAAAAGAACAATAATTGACATGGCCGTTAAATTTTTGAGGATAAAAGTTGACTGGGAAGCAAGAAGCCGGAATAGAGTTCTACAAGCAGAAGTTTGATAGAAGAAAATGTTAGCATAGAACTAAGGGTTACATTTAGGCATTTCAACTTGCGAAGGATACGGTAAGTATCATACGCGAAAGCTGACAAATTAAGACGGTGATGGTTCTAGAGACTATTCCTCTCTCTCTCTCTATATATATATATCTACCTATATATATATATATATATATATATATATATATATATATATATATATATATTATTACCTCATCTCATTTCTTGAGCCTCGTTATCTCCGTAGATGGTTATCACACGTTAGAGTGCGGAAAAAAATAGAAAGTAGATTATGAAAGCCGAAATCGTTTTCTTTTGAACGTGCGCTCCTGGCGGAAGAAGGTTACAAAAATAAGAATAATTAATAAGCGCTGTTCATTCTTCCGTTATCATTTTCTTCTTTCCGGGCTTGGAATCAACTGTTTGTCAAAATGGTATAACAAATAGATGCTACTTTTTATGTCTGCATAATTCTTCACTTCAATTATTCAGTTACGGAGCAATTTTTAAAGAGGTGCCAAATGGGTAAGTGCCAGTGTCCAGACGAAATCTTTCTGGATATTGTTAACGGAAATAAGAAAGGAGAAATAAATGATTAAATGAAGCCGTTACATTATAAAGTCAAAAAAGAATAAGGACAGGAAAAGAGAAAAGACATCAGGTTCTGCCGTTAGAAGAAAAAAAAAAAGTAAAAAGCTCTGGAAAGAAGAAGGGTAGACGTAAGGTGGTATTGTAAGGACATAAAGTATTTATGTTTTAAAGAAAGAAGATATTGAGAGTGTTGTTCTGTGAATAGAAAAAGGAGGAAGTTAGAGACAGCAGCCATAAGAAAGAAAGAAAGAAAGAAAGAAAGAAAGAAAGAAAGAAAGAAAGAAAGAAAGAAATCTATAGAAAAAGGAGCTACTAGGAATGACAATAAAATGAAAGAAAGAAAGAAAGAAAGAAAGAAAGAAAGAAAGAAAGAAAGAAAGAAAGTTAAATAGAGAGAGAGAGAGATACGAGAAGGAACAGATAAAGAAGGAGCTATAACAAAGAAGTAATGGACAGGAGTCAAAAGAAAGAAAGAAAGAAAGAAAGAAAGAAAGAAAGAAAGAAAGAAAGAAAGAAAATATAGACAATATAGTTCCGAGGAGATAAAAGGTAGGAAAGAGCTGTAGGAAAAAAATGGCAGACAAGAGACTAAGAAGAAAGAAAGAAAGAAAGAAAGAAAGAAAGAAAGGAGGAAAATAGAAAGAAAGTTATAGAGAGTGGAGAGACAAGAAGGGACAGATAAGGTAGTAGCTATAGCAAAGAAGGGACAGACAAGTGTTAAAAGAAAAAAGGAATAAAGAAAGGAAAGGAAAGGAAAGAAAGAAAGAAAGAAAGAAACTAAAGGAAAGAAAGAAAAACAAAGAAAGTTATATAGAAAGAGGAGATACGACAATGTACATATAAAGAAGTAGCTATAGCAAAGAAGTGACTGAGAGGAGTTAAAAGAAAGAAAGAAAGAAAGAAAGAAAGAAAGAAAGAAAGAAAGAAAGAAAGAAAAAATAGACAGTATAGTTCCGAGGAGATAAAAGGTAGGAAAGAGCTGTAGGAAAAAAAAGGTACAGAAATAAATAAAATAACAACGAAGAAAGAAAGAAAGAAAGAAAGAAAGAAAGAAAGTTATAGAGAGTGGAGAGACAAGAAGGGACAGATAAGGAAGTAGCTATATCAAAGAAGGGACAGACAAGTGTTAAAAGAAAGAAAAAAGGAATAAAGAAAGAAAAGAAAGAAAAGAAAAGAAAAGAAAGAAAGAACAAACAAACAGAATTTATAGAGGATCCATACGAAAAAATAAAGAAAAAAAAATATAGTGATAATAAGGCGCAAAGAAAGAAAGACTGCTATAATGCAATTAATAGGAAAAAAATATTACAAGGGAAAAAAAGATAGAAATATGAAAAAATGAAGAAAAGAAAGATGAAAGAAAGGATGAAACAAAGCAAAGACATCAAACTGCGAAAAAATAAACGGAAGAAAAGAAAGACATTGTGAAACAGACGGTAAAATGTTTACAGCAGAAACAAGAATCTGTCGACGATAAAAGAAGTTATAGTGTTGTGCGCTCCATGATGGACATGCATTGCATAGAGAGACTCCCCCGCCACCTTCATTCTATGATACTCTTCATCTAGTGTTAAAGACCATTTATCAGCATGACAGATGTTCGTCTCGTGTTGCTCATTATCATCTTGAAGGTGAACAGCAAAGATGAGATGAAGGATGGCGGGTATAAAAACGGATTTATCCATTAGAGGGGTGGTGTAAATTAGATGAAGGCCAGGGAAGAGCAGAGAAATAGAAAAGTATTTAAAAAGAAACGAAAGAGAGAAAAAACAGATTTCGAAGGAAGAAAACTACGAGGATGAGTATGAGGAGGAGAACTATGAAGAAATACAAACAGAAGAAGAGAAATTAGAGAAATGAAGCGAGAAGTGAAAAAAAAAAAAAGTAAATTAGGCAGTGGAAGAAAGAAAGAAAGAAAGAAAGAAAGAAAGGAAGGAAGAAGAAAAAAGAAAGAAAGATAAATGAAGAAAGTCTGTAAAAGTTCAACCGAGGTCTGGGTTGGGCTTAAGTCCCAGTACTTGCTCAAGGCAATAAAAAAATCAAAGCCCGGTTTTCCCGCACTGAATTGTTAGAGCTAGGTCAGAGGAGAGATCAGCTGCCAGAAAAGTCGATTAAAGAAAGAAAGAAAGAAAGAAAGAAAGAAAGAAAGAAAGAAAGAAAGAAAGAAAAGAAAGATAAATAAATGAAGAAAACAGCCGGACTCGTTATGGTGAGAAATAAAAAAAAAGTAAAAACAAGATCAGTAATCAATGAAGAAAACGAAAAATAAAAATATATTTTTTAACAATAATATTCACCCTGTACAATGCTTAAGAGCCACTCAAGGTAAAGCGTTACTTCGGTAACAGGCACAGTTTATAGATATATATGGGAAAAGCAATGGTTAACCCTAAATTTGAACAGGTTATAGTTGTATTCGTCGTAGAAGCATCTTCTAGGGAGTCGGTTCTACATAGTAGCGGTTCGTGGGAAGAAGCTGTTCGTGTGGAAGATACTGCTCACTAGTGAAATACCAGTGGAGCTTACATCCTACCAATGGAATACGAACGTAATGAAGATGATTCACTGCGGTAGGCTTGGCATGGCGGGTCTTAGCCGTGAAGGTTAGAAATTGTGGAACTAAAGGAAGTAGTTTATCTGAAAACCTTGCATCGAAATAGCAATAGAGCAGCAAGAGATTTGTAGCGTTTCACCTGTGGGAAAGGAGGGGTAAGGTAGAAAATATTTCATCACCCACGAGGCTACCGAGACGCTTTTGGACTATATCAAGACTTGAAAATGAAGACTGGCTAGCACCTGCCCATATATGACAGCGATACTCCATTTTCGGAACTCTCTGTTTCCTGTAAAGGTAAAGGATAGCAGGAGGAGTCGGCTGCCTACTGGAGCGGTACACGAACCGACCATTTTTTCCAGGATCTTTAGGGATGGCTTGTATTTACGAGTTTCAATTGAGGCCATGTGTGGGCTTAAGTCTCAATAGGCGCCCAAGGCACGTGGCCGCCCTAAGAGAACATTCGTTCCTCGTGGTAGGCGACAATTCAAAGTTTGGTTTTTCCCCCCAATGAGGTGTTAGAGCTAGGTCAAGGGAGAGATAAGCTGCCAGAAAAGACGGTGAAAGAAAGAAACAAATAAACAAAGAACGCAAGAAGTAAGAAAGAAAGTAAAAAAGAAAGAAATCAAAAAAGAAAGTAAGAAAAAACGCAGGCAAGAAAGAAAGAAATCAAGCCAGAAAAGCAAGCATGCAAGAAAGAAAGAAAGAAAGAAAGAAAAAAAAGAAAGAAAGAAAGCAAAAAAAAATGAAAGAAGGAATGAAAATAGAGATAAAAAAAATTATCTGAAATCCAACAGAATGAGCATATAGCGATTTTTCAAGGGTACATTAGATGTGGCACAAGGCCGTAAATTGGGGGCAACTAGTGAGGATCGAACTCACTACTCAGTCGTAACTATTCTAGAGAGACAAGCTTACTGACCATTACACCACGTCGAGGTGCCCTTATGATTTTCTAAGCGTAGCTTAAATGTGGCACAAGGCCGAAAGGAGAGGGGCATCCAATGAGGATCGAACTCACTACTCAGTCGTAATTGTTCTAACCAGACAATGGACCCATCACCGATATTTCTACAATCTTACGCAAACGCAAAATTAGCTTTGCAGAACACTGCTGGTGAGCAAAACAATAATTATGTGTAGGTTTTTATATCGGTAACTTCGGTCCCTTGTAGTGAATCGAAGAAATTATGAAGAGTTATTCTAATGTGAAAATATTGGATGAAAATATGCTAATTTAAGTTATCATTATCACTATTTAAATTCGGACGATTGTCGTCATCTTTGTTGCCGTTATCCCGACGTTTTGGCCGTTATGCCTTCCGTGGAGGGAATTCTGAACTGATCCCTTCATTTAATTTACGGGTGTAGAGTGTTCTTTCTGCTTATGCTGTTGTCTAAGGATGTTGTCTAGTTCTTATTTTTAGTACTGCTCATTTATTATTGCTCGTTAACTGAGTCCAAGTATACACTATCCAGCCCAGGGATTGAACATGGAATTAATACGTCACCAGATTCACGAACCTACACTTTAATCACCTAGGCTATTGTTTTAGAGCGTCAGACATCTGAAAGAATCAACGCATATGCTGGCCATGATGACCTACTCAGAAGTCATAGTATAGTAATAAATACAATATAGAAACTAGTACTAAAGAAAGACAAATTGTACGACGGGACAATACCCTAGTAAATTAGTTGGTTCGTAAATTTGGTAATATCATAATTGTGAGTTCAATCCCTGGGACGGGTTGTGTATACTTGAACTCAGTGAAAATGAGCGAGCAATAACTGAGTCTAGAATGAGTTGAAATTAAAATAACCAAAAAAAAAATAAGAAGTAGAAAAGAAATCCCTGGACATGAAGAACGAGAACATCCTAATCTCAGAGATTAAATAAAAGGTTCAGTTCAGAAATTCCTCTAGGTTATCCAGGTCGATATAAAGGCCGATATGAAAAGAGCTATAAGAAAGAAAGAAAGAAAGAAAGAAAGAAAGAAAGAAAGAAAGAAAGAAAGAAAGTTATATAGAGAGGGAGATATGAGAAGGAACAGATAAAGAAGTCGCTATAACAAAAAAGTGAAAGAAAGAAAGAAAGAAAGAAAGAAAGTTATAGTGAGAGGGAGATATGAGAAGGAACAGATAAAGAAGTAGCTATAACAAAGAAGTTATAGACAGGAGTAGAAAGAAAGAAAGAAAGAAAGAAAGAAAGAAAATATAGACAGTATAGCTCCGAGGAGATAAAAAAAATAGGAAAATGCTATAGGAAAAAAAAAAAGAAACAAAAAAGACAGAAAAGATCCTAAGACGAAAGAAAGAAAGTTATAGAGAGAGAGGAGAGACGAGAAACGACAGATGAAGAAATAGCTATAGCAAAAAAGTGACAGAAAGAAAGAAAATATAGACAGGCGATAAAAAGTAGAAAGGAGCTCTAGGAAAAAGTGACACACAAGAACATAAACAGAAAGAAACAAACGAAAAAGAAAGTTATAGAGAAATGAGATACATGAATGTACAGATAAAGAAGTATCTATAGAAAAGAAGTGACAGAGAGGAGTTAAAAGAAAGAAAGAAAATTTATAGAGACTCCATTCGATAAACTAAAGAAAAAGGAATATAGGGAGACGCAAAGAACGAAAAACTGCTATAAAGCAATTAAAAGGAAAAAAAATATTACAAGGGAAAAAAAGATAGAAATATGAAAAAATGAAGAAAAGAAAGATGAAAGAAAGGATGAAACAAAGCAAAGACATCAAACTGCGAAAAAATAAACGGAAGAAAATAAAGACATTGTGAAACAGACGGTAAAATGTTTACAGCAGAAACAAGAATCTGTCGACGATAAAAGAAGTTATAGTGTTGTGCGCTCCATGATGGACATGCATTGCATAGAGAGACTCCCCGGCCACCTTCATTCTATGATACTGTTCATCTAGTGTTAAAGACCATTTATCAGCATGGCGTATTGTGATAACAGCAACAAAAATGAAGACAATAGTCCAAATGTAAATAGTGATTTCTCAAATCACTCACTCGTGGATTTGCTAGGAAAATAATAACCCGTACCACGTCGCAGGTTAGTCAGAGCCTGTATTGAAACTAATAACATAATAATTTCGCGATTTCTAGTCCAATTACCGGAGGGTAACACAATCGTGTCTATGTGACAAATGAACAGATCCCATCGTAAGGTTTTAGAAAGCGAATTACTTCCTTGTTATATAAATATAAGGCTGTATTAAAATATTTCGATTACCATATTAGGCATGGATATTTTAATCTAAACTATTTAGCCACAGTATTTTCAAAAAAATCTTGTTCTACAGGATGGTGGACCGAAGTTTAAGAAAAGACTTTAAACAAAAAAGAGCGCTATACTTAACCCAAGGAAAGGATAATTGACATTGCTAGGGAACATAAAGAGGAAAAAGGGTTTGGGAAATCTGATACCCACAGGACAGATTGAAGGCAAAAGATACAGAGAAGAAAAACGGGTAAACTACTTAATGAGTTTGAGTAAATGGATGGCGGAACAAGGTTTTGAAGAGATAAGAAAATGACAAAATTTTTTGAGAACGACAAAGGTCAGGAATCTGTGGAAAGGCATGATGGTACACAGAAGAAGATTTTGACAAAGGAATCTATTGCAGCGTTTTAAAAAATCACATCGAAATACTAATGATTTGAAAGAATAAATATTTATTTCAATTCTGCACTCTTTTGGGAGAATGTTCAAATTATATAGCAGGAAATAAATTTAGTGTTTAAAATAGCATACTAGTGTCCGTATATATATATATATATATATATATATATATATATATATATATATATATATATATATATATATATATATATATATAATGCTGCATGGAAGAATTACTTGACGATTACAGTTGCAATTGCCTTTTCATATTTACCGATATTTTTCCAAAGTTCATTCTCTGGGTGATAAAGTAATGTTTAAAAAGTACATGTAATTAATGCTACTTAATACAAGCGGAGCTCGTTTAGACAATTTCAACAGAAAATGTATATAGCGTTCACATTAAATAAGACAAAAAAAAACTAAATTTTAAATAGGTCACATGAATTATATATATATATATATATATATATATATATATATATATATATATATAGAGAGAGAGAGAGAGAGATAGATAGATAGATAGATAGATAGATAGATAGATAGATAGATATTGTGTATTTGGGCAGAAATCCATATTTATTCAAGTTTCGTTGAAAACAACTGACAAGGTGCTGCTATAGTTGAGTTTTTTTTTAATATAATTTCTCATGTGTTCGTTTATTTTTTTTTTACTTTTCAGGACATAAATTATATAAAAATTGTCCGAATATTTTACAAGCATTTCGGCTATATTTTTAACCATTACCAACGATTTTTTTTTTTTTACTTTTAACTGAATATATTGATTCTTTTATGTATGTATCTAGAGTTATAGGTACGTCTTATTTTCAAAACACGGTCAGCACATTGTAGCCGTGTTCATTGTTGATATTACTGAGTGTTGGCTTTTTCTTTTTTTTTATTAAAATTACATCCATTATTTTTTAGCCTTTTTGTACATGAGGATGATACTATTATACTTGTATTGTCAACCAAACTCTATTCGTAACATACTCATTGATAATTTAAATATAATAGAATCATCCACATATACAAAGAAGCTAAAAATAATGGAAGCATTATTAATAAATAAAAAAAAGAAGCTCAACCGAAGACTAAAATGTGCAAGTCAAAATTATCCTAAAAGCGATCATCAAATCATATATTTATAAGAAAAAATATATAATCATTTATAGGACCAGGAAGAGCTTACGGCCATATACTGAAACACAGGTTCTCGTCCGATCACCGAAGATAAGCAAAATCGATATTGGTCAGTCCCTAGATGGGTGACAGTTTATTGAATACCTGGTTCTGTAAACTTGGATGTGTAGGTGATGTAATGGATAACAGCTTGGGATGTAAAATCAGAGAGCCGAGTTCGAATTTCACTCGAGTCTGTTATATTCAATGACTAGAAAAGAAACATGATCGTCCAGGCTCGATCAATCCACTCCTACAATACGCACCGGACCAGCGTGAGATGGTAATGACCCATTCTTTCCTATGAATATAGGGAAGTCCTGCGTCCAGTAAATGACTTTCACAAGCTACAAAGATGATGATCAGAGAGATAAGAAAAGGGACCGAATTAAGAAACGAAGGGTAAAAGATAGAATTCGAAAAGAAATGCAAATAAAAAATGCTGATAGAATTTTGCATTCTACTGAGTTAGTTTCTTGTTTCCTGCAGAAGGTAGGTGTTCAAGCCGAGATAAAGGCTACGATTTTTAAAATTTTGACTTCCTACGATGAAGAATCTTTTCCAGTTCGAAGAATAGCGAAACAATTTTTCAATATTTAGTTTTTTTCCAATGCAAAACTTAGTAAATGTTCATATCTATGCGTATTTTCACGTATAGTTTTTATGTTGGCCCTCAAAATAACATCATAACAATAAGGAAATAGTAACGGCTGGCAATCCGTTTCCGAATGCATACGTCTGCTCAGGTACATGTATGTTTCTTCAACACCTACAGACCCGAATTGTGGCTGATACTGAGCTGACCTTAGTTACAGTTTCTGAGAGAGAACGCATAATTTGGCGTGATCAGTAGTTGAACAAGGACAATACGCTCAAATCACGATGTTTCGTGACTTCGTGCAAGCACAACTGTTATGGTTTAGATTGATATATCATCATTCTAAAAATAACCTTGTCATCAGTGATGATAGAAAAGAAGGATATTTCATCATTCTACCTTTATCATTATAAAAACACCCTTCCACCTCAAGAAAGTCAGTAGAGTAGAATAGAGTAGATTAGTGAAAATTAGGGTGCCCTATAGCAGTAAA